GCTGGGATGCCGGGTTCAGGTCACACGAAGTAGGATTTAAGGTGATAGATCTGTTCTTACCAACCTTCACTCAGTAACAAATTGTAAGCCCGCAGAAGAAGGAAGTGTGATTCGAATAGTTGATAGGATGCAGACAATATTGTTGGAACGACCGACGTACGAACGATGATCATGCAACGGGGTCTGGAATAAGGAGGCTATGGCCTCTTTTTTTTTTTTTTATTCTGCATTTCTTAAAGCGCTGCTATGGCCGTACGTAACTGTACCGAAGTTGTGCATTAAAGAAATTTCTGGGCCGAGAAAGAAGCAGCTTGCCACCGCCCACACCTCTGTTTTCTCCCTCCAAAATCCCACCGAAAATTGCACAATGTCTCATCGATCCACAAACGAGTGCATATTGCACGGCCGAGTTTTATTGGCTGTTGTTCTGGTCGTTTGTTTTTGCTGGGTGCTGGCGGGTGTGGGTGTGCTGTGGGCTCACTTGGCCGAGGAAGGGAAGGAGAAAGGGGGGAGGGGGGAGGGGTGCGGAATGACGGTTTTTCGTTGCGGGTCGCGCTGTGGGTGGGCACGCCGTGCCAGCGGACGCTAGACATGGGGGACGCTTCGTGGACGGCGTTGCTCGCGCATCTGTACGCCGAGAGTCGCCTGCATTGTTCAGACTGCCTTTCAGCTATTGGTAGGTAGCCGGCCGCACGCCCTTTTTTGCGGGCCTCTGCTGCTTGTACTGTGTGCTGACACGCCTCCTCGCAGGCGCCGTGCACCGGCGCGTGACGCTTGTCAGTTGTTTGTTGGCGCGGCGAGCAGCATGCTTTGCCCATCGGATTTCACTTTCTCGTGTGGTCGTATTGCTGTTGTGCCAGCAGAGCTGCTGGCCTGCTCGGTGGTCACTGGTTGCTTCAGTGCTGCAGCGAGGGTACGTTGCTTGTATTGAAGTTTGCCGTGTCACTGCACGGAATAGCGCGTTAGCGACGTGTCTGCGTGGTCAGCCAGGAAAATGCGTTAGCACTGGATATTGTTTGTAGAGTGGACGGAGCAGCAGCAGGAACATGCCACTGTTCGATATGGCGGAGGCGGTAAGCCGCGGGGACATCATCGTGGACGAAGTGGATGCGCTCAATGCTGTGAATTCCGGGAAACTGAGCGAACTGGAGACAGCTCGGTTTAGTCCACTGGTGGCTGAACATTCGCGTCGACAGAGCGCCGGCAACGGTACTCAGCATATCCGTGCTGGTTAGCTGCTTCTTTGAGAATTAGCATAATTATGTCTGTACACATATATGTGTGTGCTGAGTGCGTTGAAATTTTTGTTCTTGAGTGTATCGGTAATGCCTCTTCAGTTTGCGACCAGAGGTACCAGAATTTTATGCGAAATTCGGCTGGGGCTGCTGATAATGGGTGGCTTAAATTCCGTAGGCTCTCGAAAGTAGCCTGACATGGGGCGGGGGATAGCAAGTGTCAAAAATCTGGCAGGGTCAAGAGTGCACAACTCGTTCCACTTCACAAGCAAGCTTTTGACGGGGTTGTCCCCCTCGTACCAGTTTAACAATGAAACGATTGAAGGAGTCGTATTGAGGCTGGTTGTCTCACTGGCGTAGTCGAGCCCCGACCTGGTGCACCACAGCAATGCTACTTACCGGTGCGCCGTGCTCACCGTCTTCCTACAGGTACCTCACCGGAAGGCAGAAATGAAATAATAGACCAACAAGATTGTACGCAAGCCATATTTATGGTGTTATTTTATGGTGCAAATTGCCTTTATCTTTCAGATGTAGTGGGGTGATATTTTTCAATGCAGTCTGTGTTTCATCCCTTAGCTGTATACGTGGACCGGGCTATGCATGCGGATAGGAATGGGAATCGTCAGTACAGCCTCCTACCCGCCATGTATTGAAAAGACATGTAACTAATTTGCTAGAA